CGCAGGACCAGCCACTCCCACGGCCATCCTCACGCGGCGCCCTTCCCACGATGCAGCTCCCCTCGCTCCCGCGCCCCGGCCTGGCCTTGGCGCTGCCCCCAAAAGCGCCCCTCCAGTCCCGCAGGGCGCAGCCCTCCTCCCCTCCTTCCGCGCCCTCCAAGCCGCCCCCACCTCCTCCATCCCCGAGGTCTCTCCAGCCGCCGCCGCAGCTGGGCTCTGGGCTCGCTGCCAGGCCCCAGGCGGGCGTGGGGCAGGTGTCCAGGCTGCGCGCAGCCTCTGCTCCCGGTGCCACTGTCGGCGCGCCCCGCACACGCACGCCCCGCCGCCCCTCCCTCACTCCTCCCTTCTTCCCGGATGCTCAGTCTCCGCCGGCCGCGGTCGCTGCATCCTCGGCGGGCGGCGACAAGGAGGTAGCAAGGGGCGGCCGCCGGCAGAGGTACCATGTGACGGGCACCGCTGAGTGACACGCAGCTTCGGTTAAAGAGCGGGCGTGCAGGAGGGGAGGCGACGGCACGCTGGACGCGGAGGAATAGCCTGACTTTCCCAGCTAAACCGTCACGAGCCATGGATGCACAGGGGCGACGCGCCCCCCAATAGGAGAATGACCGCGATTCGAGACCCTCGGCGGCCGAGCATGTGGATGTAAGTGCGAGGCTGGCGAGCACCGTGTGGGTGGGGGTTGGTGGTGGGGGGAGATTCTGATGCAATCGGCTCCGAAAGGAGGAGGAGAGACAGGAGAGCGCGGGCTGGGGCAGCCACGCCGCTCCGCCTGAAGGTCGCCGCCCTTCACCTTCCTCGGAAATCCGCCACGCCACGCTGAGCCTCCCCGCCCAGACCTCACTGACGGAGGCCACCTTTCCTCCGCTGAGGCAGCCAGACCTTGACACAAAGGACATCGCACGGCCGGGGGAAAATCCCGGAAGGGCGGAAACCTTGACGTCTCCTTTTGCCACTTTTCCTTTATTGCCCGAGGTAAGGTGATTTCGCGTTCCCGGGGAGAGCTGAGGGAGCGGCGGCGGGGAGGAAAGGGATGTTTTACATGTGAGAGGAGGCGGTAATGCAGAAGTCATCCATGCGGCGAGAAAGGAAGGAGTGCGCGGCTGTGCCGGATGCGTTCGGATTTTGCTTTTAGGAAAAGTCCAGATCTCCGGTTCTCCTGACCGCCCACGACAGTGTAAGGAGGTGCCGGAGCCCCTTATTTCACCTTTGCATGGGCTCTGGCTTACTTCTGGAGTCTGTTTTCTTAGGGGCAGATTGTGGCACCAGATCTGGTTCAGTCATACGTGGCTGAGGGACCACGAGGGTCTGGAGAGCCCGGCCGAGGTGAGGGCGCGCGACTGCATACCCGAGGAGTGTTTGAATGCCGGGCACTTGCGGGGAATTTCCTGTGTCCGCAGGGCCCCGAGGAGAGCATGTGATGTCCTCGGGACTGTGTGTGCGCCCGTCTGGGTCTCGGGGACTGGCCGCGGGTCGGGGAGCGGAGGCGCGGAGCCCGAGTAAACGGGAGCACGCTTGCCGGCCCTTCTCGAGCTCTGCCCCGCTCTCAGTATGCGTAGGAGTGGGAGGATGCGGGCCGTGGGGTGGAGGTGGGGGGCTGACTGCTAAAGGATGCCGGCAGTGACTCACTGCCCTTTCCCGCCCCAAAGAAGTTCTTTCCCAAATGAAGGAGAGACAGAGAGAAGTGCCACTCTGAGAGCTGGGATCCGCTTCAGCGGGCGAACAAAAGGCCACCGCTTGCGCGGGCCGCGGGCGCGGACAGTCCTCGCCTGCGCTCCCACCTCCTCCCTCCACCCCCGCATCTCGCTCGCTTCCCTAAATGTTGCCACAAAAGGCCCTGAACCTCGCCGCGGCCGTGCCCGGAGGAAGGCGTTCCTTCGCCCTGGTGCGCGTCCCCGCCCCCCACCGTAATCCGCCTTCCGGAGCATCGGGCTCCTCAGCACCCACTGGGACCTCCAGGTTACAGGGCTGCCTGGGCGCTGCTTCCCGGCGGAATCGCCCGGCCCTGGGTTTGGGCTGAACTGCAGTCAGAGAAGGTACAAGTGCATATGGCGGCAAAAGGAATTTCGCGGTAAGCGCGTCACGGAGTTTCGGGTGCCTTTCACAGGCTGTCTGCGGCTTAGGAAGGTGGTGCCACAATTTTGAGAGCCCTTTGTGTCCCACTCCGCGGCGCGGACCCGGTGTTTATTGCACTAACTGCCACCAGCATCACATTCTTCCGCATACGAATCCCTGGTGATGTATTTCACGAGTGAAAAAAGACCCGAGAGCTAGGAAACAGGATTTATTTGCATTTGGAAAGGAATCTGACATCTCTGCCGTGGGTTTAAAAAATTTTAATATAAGGGGGAGGAGAGAATAAATCTATGGTTTGCAGACTGCTGGGCCCAGCAAGGCTGTAATTTGTCACCTTGATAGAAGAAACTGTGCAGCAACTCGTGCTTCTTCTGACGTCAGAAGGACAACTGAAATAAAACCTGAGCCAGGCGGCTGGCTGGCCTCATTGTTAAATATCTCTCGCTGGGTGGGTGTTCCTGAAATCTATGCAAAACAGCCAAGTCAGGGCTCTGATCCATGGTGGGCCCCCTGGATTTCGCTTTGGACCCCAATCTCAAAATGGCTTTACCCTTCAGAGTTAATTCGGTGTTCAGTATGTCGCCTTAGGCATCGAGAAACTCACCTAGTTTGGCTCGAGGTCTTAACCTTGACGTTTATTCACTTTTTTTTTTTCCCCTCCAACATATTCAATGAGTTTTTCCTACTGAGGGTTTATGTGGCAGTTAGCAACTAGCAAGGTAAAGTTCCTGCTTCCGTGAGACTTCCATTCTCCTGGGGGAAACAGACAATAAATGTACCTATAAATGAATTTTGGAGATTCGTTCCAGCAATGAAGAAATAAAACAGGATCGTGTGATGGGGGAGGGTGCTTGAGACAGATGACCCTCTAGGAGGGCCTGTGTGAGAGGGGACATTTGTCCTGAGACTAAGAGGCCAGGAACCTGGTTATTGCTAGGCTGTCTTTTCCTCCCTCTGGGTGATACTTGAGGGCAAAGACCAGTCTAATTCGTTACTGCTCCCCTAATGCCCAGCACAGAGTAGCTGCTTAATAAATGCCTGTTGCATTGAGACCTTGGCCAAAACACCTTGTTCAGTGCTACTGTCGTTTGTTGTTGTTTGTGCTACTGTTGTTGTTTGTGCTACTGCTGGCCATCCCTTTCTTTCTGTATCTCATTATTTGTTCCCCTGTTAAGTTGAAACTTCAGAGTCTTTTTCTACTCTGCTTCTCCTTCTCTCTTACCTTCTCTCCGCTTCTGAGCAGTTACCAGGTGCTGCAAATGCTCCACAAATCTGTTTTTTCATCTCCATTCCCACTGCCCGGGTTCAGGTCTCTGTTATCTGCCCTAGACAGGGCAATTGCAGCGGTCGGTTGGGATAACAAGAACGGTGAAACGGACATTGAGGTGCCCCGAAGAAACCAGCGCTCAGGGGGGCAGATGCAAGCACAGTGCGCGAGAAAGAGTGAAGCGGCCGGCAAAGGAGGTGTGAGGGGCTTCTAGCTGATCTCTGTACCAAGCTCTGCTCCCCCAATTCAATCTCGACACTTCCATGTGATCTATGTTTTTAAAACTCCTTTTTAAAACTCATCTTGCTTCTGAAAACCTTAAGTGGGTTCCAGTCGCCTACAGTTGAAGTCTAAATTCCTTAGCTGGGCACTCGGGACCCTCCACAATCCTCACCTCTTTCTCCCAGTTCACCCTATACCCTTCCTTTCACTTTTCTGCCTCAATATTGATGTTGATTCCAAACTGAAATGCCTACTGAAATGCTATATATTTGTGAAGGCTTAGCCCAGATGCCACTTTTCTACCTCATCAAATGTGACCACTGATCACCTCACCTTTAAATAAAGATTTATATCTTTCACTTTTTGTGCCATCATCAGTCCAGGTGATGGAAGGTGGAGGATAAGGACATACACTTTGAATCAGTCCCAGGTCTCCAGCCTGGGGACCTTGAGCAAGTTTTGTGTTTTTTTTAGCATTTCTGAGCCTCATTCCCCACCCCACCCCCCATTTGTTAAACGTGGTGGTAGTGGTATGATGAGTTATTCAGAAGGTTTAATGAGGATAATGGTTGTACAGTGCTTGGCACCATATTAGTGGTCCATATATATTGAATTAAAAGGGACTTCAGGGCTTCCCTGGTGGCGCAGTGGTTGAGAGTCCGCCTGCCGATGCAGGGGACACGGGTTCGTGCCCCGGTCCGGGAAGATCCCACATGCCGCAGAGCGGCTAGGCCCGTGAGCCATGGCCACTGAGGCTGCGCGTCCGGAGCCTGTTGCTCCGCAACGGGAGAGGCCACAGCAGTGTGAGGCCCACGTACCGCAAAAAAAAAAAAAACAAAAAAAAAAAACCAAGGGACTTCAGGTTTCTCATCTATCAGAAGAGATGGGGGAAGCTGATCAGGAAAGTTCCCCTTACCTCTAATATTCAATGAATATTTAATCATTTGAAAATACTCTGAAAATAATACCTTAATGGAAACTACCTGAATGTTCTCAGTCCCTGGGAGAATGTGCATCTATGAAAGGTGGTGTGCAGGTTCGTGGAAGGAAGCACATTCCAAATAGCATCATAGATTTCACAGAAGGACAACTTAGAACACTTACCCTAAATCGAGTCTTTTAAAAACAGTGAGGCGGATGGACCTAGAATCTGTCATACAGAGTGAAGTAAGTCAGAAAGAGAAAAACAAATACCGTATGCTAACACATATATATATGGAATCTAAAAAAAAAAAAATAAGGTTCTGATGAACCTAGGGGCAGGACAGGAATAAAGACACAGACATAGAGAGTGGACTTGAGGACACGGGGACGTGGAAGGGTAAGCTGGGACGCAGTGAGAGAGTGGCATGGACATATATACACTACCAAATGTAAAACAGATAGCTAGTGGGAAGCAGCCGCATAGCACAGGGAGATCAGCTCGGTGCTTTGTGACCACCTAGAGGGGTGGGATAGGGACGGGGGTAGGGAGACACAAGAGGGAGGGGATATGGGGATATATGTATATGTATAGCTGGAAAAACTAACAACACTGTAAAACAATTACACTCCAATAAAGATGTTAAAAATAAATAAATAATAAAAATAAGTAAAATAAGGGAAGGGTTAAGTATGATAAGAAAAAAAGCACATTGTTACACTTATTTCTGGAAGTTGATCGCATTTTATTCATTGGTTTTTCTACCCACCTCCTGTGTGTTAAGGTTACTACTAAGCATAAAGGAATTCACTGATGGGGAAGCACCATGGTTTGGGGAAACTTTGCAAGCAGCCATGTTGCAGTCAAGGAACTCTGCCTCAGGTGAAGCTACAGTGTGTCTTTGCCAATAACTAGCTGGGTCCACTGGGGCAACTCAGTTAACTTTTTTTTTTTTTTTTTTTTTTTTGGTACGTGGGCCTCTCACTGTTGTGACCTCTCCAGTTGCGGAGCACAGGCTCCGGACGCGCAGGCTCAGCGGCCATGGCTCATGGGCCCAGCCGCTCCTCAGCATGTGGGATCTTCCCGGCCCGGGGCACGAACCCACATCCCCTGCATTGGCAGGTGGACGCTCAACCACTGTGCCACCAGGGAAGCCCC